TCTCGCTGTTCTACTTATTTAAACGATTTTTTTATTTAGCCTATAAAGAACGCTTAATTTAAGTGACAAATACAAATCGAAACGATTTTCTGTCCATCAGTTATAAGACACGAGGATGTGAGGAAGTGCAACACATAAAGTGCAGCTGAATGTTGTAAAATTCAATGAAAATGTGATGCTGAGGACTGCAGAAATGATGCAAAGCGGACCGCAAGTTCTGCAAACTTTAAAGCTGACAGTCAAAGCAAGAAAAAAAATTAATGTAGGGTACTAATGCATTAAACTAAAGTAATATAATATTCGTGGAATAATAGTTTAGGAGGTGCTGATGTCTGGCTACGGTTGCAAACGTCGCTGATCCTAGTTTTTCAAGCGGAATGAATGAGCGCAGAAATAAACTTAGAAACTTCTCAAGGCAGCTCGATCAGTTCACCACTAACCTTGGTTTCTCCGCGGGTTCGCCTGTTTCCTCCGCTTTCCTCGGCTCCTCTCTGCCATGTCTCGGCCGTGTTCGCCCGGTGAGCGCGAGGATGGATCGTGCGGATAAACGAGCGAAGCGTCGCTCTGCAGCAGCGCTCAAACGCGCGTCGCGATCAGCAGCGGCTCTGGTGATGTCATCGGAGGCAGGTCTGGTGTCAGCCCAAACTACAGCGAAGTGTGTTCGAAGAAAGGAGAATTTGCGCACTTAAAAGTGTGTGATTTCCTAAGGTGGGGTTGCTTTTTTATTAAAGATTTAATTTTGCTTATGCATGATTTTTTTCCTAGTCATAAACACCACTGTTACAATGTAGCCTATAGGCCATACTTAATAAACGCGTAGCAATAATATTATGCATGCATTTTATTGTTCCTAATGGGATATAACCAGCTAGTGTGCATGCGAAAAACTTGATCAAATTAAATACATGCATGTAGTTTAATGAAAATGTGATGCTCGTGCTGAGGACTGCAGCAATGATGCAAAGCGCACCGCAAGTTCCTTTGGCTTGCTTAATTAGTTGGGGACGCTTGACTGATTGCACAGATTGGAAGACAGCTGGACTGGATGATGATAATGACATCACTGAATCATCAATAAATTGACTTGAGCTGGAAAAATGACTCTTTGTTATCGTCCTCTTGCATTATTGACAAACTATTGTCCTGTTGACACTGTAAAGCTGTATAAAGCGCTAGGCTATATAAATAAAGGTGACTTGACTCAATGCTTGTTTTTGTATTTATGAAGCGCCAGACGTTAATAGCCAACTCAAATTTTAAGTTTGCATTTATATTTTTGATCGCAATGCATAGACTACACGTAATGCATTACCTTTTAAAAAATATTGGTTGAACGGTGTTTTAATGCGCAGGTAGCCTACGCTACGCGTTTCATTGGGAGCGAATCGCACCTGTTCCCGCCCGTTCTCCTGTTGATCGCTGTAGGAAGTATTGTATTGTCACCTCTTTTGTGCGAGTAATTGAACGGTGATCTGTTTAGCAACTGAAAAAGAAAAACATCAGAAAAACTCAAACACACCGTTCCAGGACCCCTACCTTGGCATTCACACGCAATGTCATGATAATGCCGCGCAATAGGGTGGACCTTGATCCCTAAGCGCTTCGAAATATAGGACTTTTTCTGCTTTAAATGATGTTAATGGTTCAGTAATTCCGTTTTCTATTTAATGACAATCTTACTCGTTAATTATTATTTATATTAATATCATTTTGTTGTCTTGCAGTAGCAAACAGCAGCAGGCTAATACACATTGATCTGAAATAACACGCCATCTGTGATATATTATAATATTTTCTGCTCTTTGAAAACTATCGATTATATTCACGTTGTCTTGATTATGTCTTGTCTCGCGCCAGAAAAAAAAAAGCGCGGCAACGGATTCTGAGGGGAAAACATAACTATCTTAATTGTTGTTTTTACAACAGCGGGCGGATTTCTCCTTTTTGTCTGGAAAAAACATCTTACAGGCATTACAAGAAAACCCACAACACTAAATATTACCACAGGATGACCGAGATTTAAAAGAAAAATGGTTTGTATAGTTTACTTGGATATTTTGCTTAGCATAAACGTCGTAAATTACGTGGCAAGACTTACCCGTGATTTGTACTTTCTTTTATACCAGGTTTTTGCAGTTATTTTAACGTGTTGTGTATACAACTTTACAAAAATGCTGTCGATAAAACATTACAGCGATATCAAAATGTAACACTAGCCTACAGTACTTTAAATTTCCATCGAGAAACATAATGATTAGCTACCATATTCATGTACAATGTTTTTTTTTTTACACAGTACAATAGGCTACTTCAAACTAACAATGTATTATCATGGTATTTTTTTTATAGCGAATCCTGTGCATTTTAAAGGCATTTATCAAATTGCTAAGCTATGTTTAATGTTTTGCAGTTAGGATGCCAGCTGTTTGTTTATACAACCTTACAAAAATACTGTGTTGGTACCACAGTATGCTACAGTAATGATATCAGAGGGTAATAGTGCTTTAATTTCCATTGAGGAACAGAATGATTACCATATTGATGTTCCATGGTATTTACAAGGTACTAACAATGTATGAACCATGGTAATTTTTAGTAGTGAATCCTGTGCATTTAAAAGGCAAAATGCTAAGCTTGTGTTTGTTGTTTCTAATGGACATTTGTCTTTTCAGGGGCATAAAATAGAGGGTTTCAGGTGGAGAAAGCCAAAGAAAAGGAGAAGGGATGAGAGGTCACAGTCCTTTTGTCCATGAGAGGAAAGGAGATGGAATGGGTCATAAACCTACACCCTGCTGTGGATCTTGGATGAGAGGAGTAAAGGTGGACACAAAGAAAAGCCTCATTCACCACTTCACCTCTGCCCCTGCAGATGATAGCAAGAAAGTGTTTTTACATGAACATTATAAACGAGGTACCGTTGTCTTTTTAGGTGCAGACAACGAGTGCAGTTTGCTGTGTGCAATGAGTCTAAAACAGCCAGTAAGTGCAAGAATCTGGGCACCAAATGTTCCCAAACACCTCCGTACTCACTGAGGGACGCCCTAGGGTGGGGTGTCCCGTGGGGTTTCCAAGCGTGCACACGCACGAGTTTGGCAGGGGTTCAGAGAGGGAGCAAAGGGAGGAGTCTTCCTTAACAGCATATTAAACAGGAGTTAATTATATGCCAACCTTTGTGACAAAGAGAATAAAAAGCCTCGACTTGAATGGCGAACCAAGAAAAGAAAAGTCATTATGCTGGTTTCACTTCTTTGCATGTGAAAACCTCAGCGCTTATTTTGCCATTTCCATTTGTATCAGCAACCTCAGCTCAGTAGATTGTGGCTTAAGTCAGGCTGTAGTTCAGAGCGCTGTTAAACCTCTGCACTCTCTCTTTAGAAATCAACTGAATGCTACATTCTGCAGATGTTAATTATAGAACGACTAGTACGTTTCCTATGCATTTGTTCAATGAGAATTGAGTGCATGTGGCAGAAAGGGTTTGCACTGATTGCATCACAAAATAGATATCATTTGTTTTTGTTTAAAGATTTAAAATTTTAAAAAAATAGCAAACTCAATTTTTTTGGGCAAAAAACGCAAACAGTTTGAAAAATGACAACACGCAGAGGAATCATTCATGTTCATAGCACAAACAGTGTGGGGCGGCTTCAATACTTGAGGTAACCCGAAGTATGAGCAAAAGTAAAGGGATCCTTGCCTGAGCAAAAACCACTAATGATGAAGGAGAGATAGTGTGAGATGAGAGATGGCTAACGGTGGTCAAGTCATAAAAACGAGGATGGAAGCAAGGCACAGAGCGAAAGGAAGAAGCAGAGACGATCAGTCAGTTATGTAGCAAATAACAGATGGGAGACAGGGAGAATTGAGTCAGCGGAGTTGGCGATGGTGATGTCGAGGGCAGGTCTTCATTGGATTCATGCCGCACACAGCATTAGATCCGTGGGGCCGAATCAGGGTACCAGGGACCGGGAGCCACAGCATTATAGACTCAAACACACACACTGGCATGTAGTCCAGGGAAATCTTTCTTTTGATCTTATAATCAGGGACAGGGAAAGGGCAAGTATGGAGAGGATTAGCTTTGTCACAGAGATTTCAGTATTAGTGAGCAAAAATGTTCTCTTTGCAACTAAAGGAGGAGGGATCTAATATGCCAGTGTAACATAAACCCTGTGTGTGGCTTTCAAGACCTCACAAAGACCATGAGCTGTAGTTTTGACGCCATCTAGAGGACATTTGACGTGTTTCTGCCTGAAAAAAATAAAGGCGGCGTGGTTAAAGCATTCAAAAAGCACACAAATGCGTCATGCTGTTGTCCGAATATTTTTTTCTATTAAGAGTAGTACATGGATCAGGATTATTATAGTTAAATAAAACGAAAACCATAAAAAAAACTTGCGTTACCTGAAATAAAATAAACTGAAATGAAATAAAACATAAAAATTACTTATTTCAGCTAGTTGCAACATTTCTAATTTTCATATAGTTTAACCTGATTTACTAAAATAACTAAATCTGAAATAAACACTAATAAAAACTAAACATGCTTAAAAAACAAAAACTAATAAAAAGGACTAAACAAAACAAAATAAAACTTCAACTAAAATTAAAATGAAAACAAAAAATCTATAAATAAACACTAATTCAAAATATAATTTAAAACTATAATAGTATCTCAATGATACTAAAATAACAATGACTTGGATATGCACAAAGAAACATAATACAGTACATAATTTTCTTCCATCACAGGCTTTGTTTATTTATAAACTGGTATAATATAGTACTTTTGTACAAAAATGTAGAAAACGGTATGCAAAAATATCACTTCCTTGTAAATAGATGAGATAAATGCTAATATCATAAATCTGTTACTACTTTTGCCAGCAAAAAAGGTTTGAGTGAACTGTGACAGATATAAAAACACACAGAAATGCAAAAACCACAAAATGTTTTTTTTTTCTTTAAAAAAGAGGAAATGATAAAAAGAACATCGTTACATTTTTGCAGCAATATGGAAGCACATGACGTCTAGCTGTCTATGCAAATGATGTCTAGCAAATATCAAGTGTGGACTCGTCTCAGTGTCGGTCGTCTTTGGTATGCCACAGAAAGTGGAAACACTGGGATTTTTAAAGGGTTGCAGCCCTCTATAACACTTAAATGATAAAATGATACTTAAAACGAGTTAGGCACAATGTAGGCAAAGTGTTGAAATAACAGAGGACTTAAAACCAAAAAATAAAATACCTGTACTGTATGTACCTTTCATACTATATGGAACCATTAATTAAAATTAATCTCTTCTCCTCAGCTCAGTGCTGTTGTCAGTGCAATGCATATGCATGCTAGCTTGGGTTACATAGCGCAGCGTAGACTAAAAGAAACTTTACAAAAACCACTCAGTGCCGTTACCCTTTAACGTATCTGTCTGAAAGCAGACTAGTCAAATAATCAGAAAACAAACACTAGAACTTTTAATTAATATTATGACTCAAAGGCTCCTGTCTAGACCTAGAGATAGTTAACGAGGCTTCAAAATACTGTTCTGTAATCTGCCATTATGACAGTTAGTGATAAGTTTTAGTGAGAACACACTTTCTCCTAAGCCCAAAGTATATGCATGTACTCTTTACACTCAGCTTGAGCAAACACCTTCTTTGCACTAATTAGTTGGTCCACAAGGTGGCGACATTGGTTGTTTCACGGTAGAAAAAAAACGAGATGGAAAGACAAACTACTGGAGACGCAACAAGAATATAGACACCTGCTAGTTTAATAGAGAACAAAGATGTTTGTTTTTATTGCTCATAACTTCTGTAGAGAAATAGCACAGACATCGGCAAAAATGAAACTGTCTAGTGCGCATGTGTCAGCCACCTGTGTTTTTGTGCACTATTAAGTGGAGTATACTTTGAAAGGCTATGCATTCTGCTGTACTCATTCATTAAGTGTTCGTATACTTTGGGCTTCATACTGAGTTTATTCATCTGTCAGTGTTTCTATCTGACTGTCCATGTGTCTCATCTGTCGAGTTTTCTCCAACATGTCGTACCTGTGAGGAATCAAAGAGGCCACAATGGTTGAAGGCACTTGAGTCCTGTCTTTACCAATACTTCTAGAGAATGTGCCAACCAGCTTCTTCCTTTACACGTTCGCTCACTTAGTATTTCAGTCTTCTTATGTAGAGTTCACGTGGCTTTTGTGCCAGTCCAAGTCTGTATATGTATCAAAAAGGAGATTTTCTTTATACTATCTTGCCACCATTTACAGTCCAAAGCTCATATTTACATTTTAAACAAGATTTCCATCGTAAACAGTCTCGTAAACAGAATGCCCCTTCAGTAATAGTCATTAGGCCTCTGTGGTAATGTTCAGCAACATATTTTACACAATTACAAAACTATTATGCAAAATCTCTGAGATCCCATGAAGGACACCAGCAGAACCATCAGTACCTGGCGCATGAGCAAGAAAAGGACGTCCAGAGGAACCTTTAGTGTTGTAAGGGCAATAGAGTCTACATGCTCACTTTGGCCCAATTATATGTATAAACACTTTAAGACAATGTGTTCAAATACTTGTTCTCCCCAGCAAGGGACGTCAACATTGAGGTCATGTCCCCGATTGCCATATTGGAAAGGCCACTTGGAAGGGTGATGGAGGTTTGGGGTGTGGTGAGACGGGAGGAGGTCTGAGAGGAGCACTGGTGGTGACCCAGCGATGGGTTTATTGGACTGTAAAATGAAGGTTCTGGGTCATCAATGATGGAAGCAAAGTCAATCTGAGCATTCTCCAAGTCCAGGTTTTCTAAGGCGTTGGACATGGGTGCAGGGTCCGAGTAGGCCATCGAGGTGGGCTTGGTACTAGGGTCTATCCCAGTCAGGTGCTGCTGGGCCAGGCATGGTCCATCCTGAGTCTTCTCCATGTCATGGTGCATGTGTATCTGGCCTGAGCAGTACATGGGTTTGTTGTTATTGGTGAAGTTTTCCGAATGCTGCTGCTGCTGTTGCTGTTGTTGAACCAGTGGGAGACGGACTCCTCTACTGGGACTGGTGGTGGAGTGGACCGGGCTCAGGTGAGTCGGGCTGCCCAGGTAAGCTCCACCTGTCTGCTGGGATAGGCTGTTTTGGCGACTCAGAGGCTTTCGTCCCTGAGGTGGTCGTGGCACCATATCTGGCCTGTAGCAGGATCCCTGCATCCCAGCGGTATGCTCCTTGATGGAACTGGGAACTCGATTTTGCGGTGGGCTCATCAAGTTCTGATTCGGGTAGCCTTGGTAGGAGTTTCCAGGATAAAGGTTCTGGTTAGCTTGTTGATGCCCTCCCATTTCCATGCCACCGGGCTTCCCATCGACTACCCTTTGCTCCTGCTGTTGTTCCCAAAGGAGCGCTTGCTGGGACTGCACATAATTCCTCACCATCATTTCCTTCATCTGATGCATTGGCGTCTGTGACCTACGGCTCTCCGCCAGTGCAAGATTTATCCCTCCACCGCTCGGGAACGATCCCGCCTGGCTCTGCTGTGGAAGACCGACTTGTGTTCCCATCTGGCCGTGATGGAATTCACAGTTCGCATTGGAGGACCTGCCCATGATGCCCTGGCCTGACTGCGGTGGATACGCCTGCATATTCACATCATGCCGATGCTGGTGTAGAGGTTTAGTGTTCTGGCAGGAACTGGCTCCTCCCATGGATGAATGAAACTGCTCTGGTTTTACAGTAACTCTTTGATGGCCAGGGTCAGATGTAGGGTCGTATACACCCTGTTGAGGGTAGTGTTGTCCTTGAATGCCTGCACACTGGTACTGCATATTGGTCTGAGGGCTGTGGAGCTGGTTGGTCTGTCCCCAGGGTCCTGATCCATCACCCTGGCTGGGATAATGTGGACCGGAGGGGCTAAGCTGACAGTTGCTCATGCCAAACTCAGCTTGCTGTAGAAGATTGTTTGCAATGTCAGCCTGACCCATTATCCCGGTGGCACAGATCTCCTCACGCTGGTACGGACCTTGCATTTGAGACTGGTAGACTTGATCCATGCAACTCAGTCCTTCTTGTCCGGGAGACAGTTGACTTGCATTGTGAGGGTGGTTGCATTGTTGAGGTTGCTGGTAGCTCGTGTAGGCTCGGTCTCCACATTGGATCATGTTGCCTTGCTCTCTGCCTTCGGCAGTCCCATGAGGATCCATGGCCATGGCCTCCATCATGACATTTTCAGTGATGCTCGGTGGACGAGACGAGTACATGTGCCTGCTGAGAGCGGCATCAGATCCGCACTGCTGCAGTGCATTGCGGCGACTCATAAGGGACACATTGCTTAAGCTATTAAAGCGTTGCACCTTGGGTAAGCCCTGCGGGTCGGCACCAGAGCATACTGGATCGCTGGCGCGCCTCGTGTTGTTCCCGGGTGCCTGATGTGGATAGATCACTCCCGTGCCGTATTCGGCATTGGCACTGTGCCTCCTCGTGCCACCTTGCTGCAGAAACGGAGGAAGAGGTTGGCCATGGCATTCTCTCAGGAATCTTCCAGGGTTGCCAGGTTGGTCCATGTTGGGTAACGGGGTTGGCGGTGGGCCGCCTGTTGCTGCTGCATATTTAGCCTTCAGACTATACTGCTGCGCAGGAGTCAGACTCGGTAGACCTGGCAATCCCCCGGGGTTCTGGCATGATCCGCCTCTTTGGCTGTTCTGAGGAGACAGTGGGTCGCCGGGAACATCGGTCCCCATTACGGAATGGCAGTGACCCACTTGGGACACGTCGCTGGAGCGTCTGCTTGATAGGTAGGGCGAGACCATAGACGAACGGCGGCTCACTGTGTAGGCAGAGCTGAAGCTGCTGGTGCCGCTACCCCGCCGGTCGTTTGGTGGGCAAGGCATTCCCATTCCGCTAACTCCGCCCAGATCCGGGGCAGAAAGCTCCATTACACGCCGGTTGGAGAGCAAGGGTGAAGGCACACACATGCCCATCATCTCTCCTGTTGCTGAAAGGAGCAGAGAAGGAAGCAGAGTTAGCATGCGAATTATTCAATGGCAGATTTCCAGGAAAAGCATGAAGCTAGAAATCCTAAGATCATGGGATTGATTACTATAAAAGGTAAAGTGTGAACCCTAAATGCATACGATGCCTAATTAATAAATGTACATTTAACCTTAATCTGAAAGCACAGTTCAGATGACCTAGCAAAATCAGTGTTTGTAGTTTTTTAGTCATTTTTGTCTTACAACAAAAGCAACCTACAACTTTTTCTTTATAATAAATGGCAATAATTTCAATCAAGGTTAATTTGACAGTTTGTGTCTTCCGACAAAACTAACCTGCAATTATTTTATAATAATTTGCTGTCAGTGTTTGTACAGTTATTTTGTTTTAGCCACAGTTTTTGTCTTACAACAAAAACATGCATTTTTATAATAAATTAATTGCAATAAATTGTGATCAGTGTTAATTTTTACAGTTTACTGTTCAAGTCAGTTTTTGTCCTTTGACAGAAATAACCTGCAAATGTTTTATAATAAATGCAAAAATTAATTGCAATCAGTGTTTGTAGTTTTTTAGTCATTTTTGTCTTACAACAAAAGCAACCTACAACTTTTTCTTTATACGGGAGACAGTTGACTTGCATTGTGAGGGTGGTTGCATTGTTGAGGTTGCTGGTAGCTCGTGTAGGCTCGGTCTCCACATTGGATCATGTTGCCTTGCTCTCTGCCTTCGGCAGTCCCATGAGGATCCATGGCCATGGCCTCCATCATGACATTTTCAGTGATGCTCGGTGGACGAGACGAGTACATGTGCCTGCTGAGAGCGGCATCAGATCCGCACTGCTGCAGTGCATTGCGGCGACTCATAAGGGACACATTGCTTAAGCTATTAAAGCGTTGCACCTTGGGTAAGCCCTGCGGGTCGGCACCAGAGCATACTGGATCGCTGGCGCGCCTCGTGTTGTTCCCGGGTGCCTGATGTGGATAGATCACTCCCGTGCCGTATTCGGCATTGGCACTGTGCCTCCTCGTGCCACCTTGCTGCAGAAACGGAGGAAGAGGTTGGCCATGGCATTCTCTCAGGAATCTTCCAGGGTTGCCAGGTTGGTCCATGTTGGGTAACGGGGTTGGCGGTGGGCCGCCTGTTGCTGCTGCATATTTAGCCTTCAGACTATACTGCTGCGCAGGAGTCAGACTCGGTAGACCTGGCAATCCCCCGGGGTTCTGGCATGATCCGCCTCTTTGGCTGTTCTGAGGAGACAGTGGGTCGCCGGGAACATCGGTCCCCATTACGGAATGGCAGTGACCCACTTGGGACACGTCGCTGGAGCGTCTGCTTGATAGGTAGGGCGAGACCATAGACGAACGGCGGCTCACTGTGTAGGCAGAGCTGAAGCTGCTGGTGCCGCTACCCCGCCGGTCGTTTGGTGGGCAAGGCATTCCCATTCCGCTAACTCCGCCCAGATCCGGGGCAGAAAGCTCCATTACACGCCGGTTGGAGAGCAAGGGTGAAGGCACACACATGCCCATCATCTCTCCTGTTGCTGAAAGGAGCAGAGAAGGAAGTTAGTATGAGAATTATTCAATGGCAAAAAATTGAATTCTAATTATATTTTATCTATTTGTTGACTTGACTCTCAAACACTTGCATTCTCTATTCATTTTATAATTGCTTGTTTTATTTAAAAAAAGGCCTCTAACACTAGCCTCCTCTATTCTTTTTCTATTGTATCTTCTTGTTTTCTTTTTGTTCTATATATATACAGGGTGCGATTTGTAGGGGGGGGGGGGGGGGCGATGCTTTTGAAAAGTTTTTATGAAATGTTTTTAATACGACGGAAACTGTATTTAACGTGATCACAGTAAATACTGCAACATGACAATACAAACAACAATAAAATCAGAAATGGACTTTAACTGTCAGCGCTCCTCCCGCTTAATAGAGACTGTCTGGGTTTCGTGATCCTGGTTCACACGCCTCAATCCATGCAGGGCTTTACAGAAAGTCAGCGCGCGAGATTTCAGAGTGACAGTATGCGATTAATACACAACGTTTTTGCTCAAAACTCACTCTACTGTGACCTAATGCAGATATTATATATTATAAACGGATGCATAAATGTATTATGAAACAGAACGCAGCTGTTTACCGTCACCGTTATGTGGGAATTATGATCACGCAATATTGACTGATCGACAGAGAATCATCTTTCTGCGAGTCATTAAGAAATTAAGGTTCTATTATATTTAAAGAAATATGAGGTAAATGTGTGAATACATAAGGTGCGCACTTTTGGAGTAAAAGTTTGTATGTTGTTTAGCGAAGCACTGATCAAAAATAAATAGAAGCAAACGCGATTGATTATGTAGGCCTACAGTGTCTCGTTATTCTGATCAAAATATCATTAACTCCCGATTGATTTTGCATTCCTGGCAGAAATGAGAACTATTAGTGTCACTGTAACCAAGTATTATCATAAATAGTGGTCAAATATCGAAGCTATCTAATCTCAATGTCAAATCAGAATATTTATTGTAAAAATGGTTTTGTAACAGCTGCCAAAATAATCCATATATTTGCTGTGATTTGTGATATATTTTAAAAGGAAAATGAGAAAGTTCTTTTTTTTTTTTTCAAAACATCCCCCCCTCTGGTTTGTTCACAAATCACACCCTGTATATATGTGTGTGTATATATATATATAAACCTTGCTATGTTTACTCCGTTAGGCTAACTGAGACTTGTTATAGCACTTGCATATCATTGCTCTTTTGTTGGTTTTGATTGCTTCTATTGTCATCATTTGTAAGTCGCTTTGATAAAAGCGTCTGCTAAATGACTGAATGTAAATGTAATTATTAAATGTAAATTTAACTTTAATCTGAAAGCACAGTTCAGATGGCCTAGTATAATAAATGTTTATTTTTTATGAATAAAAATAACTTTGAAAAAATTAAATGTATAAAAAGAAATAACCTGCACATTAAAAAAAATAAAAATAATTAATGCAACACTAAATTGCAATTAGTGTTTATAGTTTTTTTTGTTTTAGCCACAGTTTTTGTCTTACAACAAAAACAACAAGCATTTTTATAAAAAAAAATTATTGCAATAAATTGTGATCAGTGTTTTTTGATTTGTACAGTTTACTGTTTTTTGTTTGTCCGTTGACAAAAATAACCTGCAAATGTTTTCGAATAAATTAATGCAAAAATAAATGGCAGTCGGTATTTGTAGTGTTTTATTTTTTATTTTTTTAATCCTGCAACTGCAACCTTTTCTTTATAATAAATGAATTGCAATAATTGTGATCAGGGTTAATTTTAGTTTTTTTTTTTACAGTCATAGATTGTATCTTTTGACAAAAATAACCTGCAAATATTTTATAATAAATTGCAATCAGTGTTTGTACAGTTTTTAAGTTATAGTTTTTGTTTTACAACAAAAACAACATGCCATTTTTAATAATAAATTAATTGCAATAATTAGTGTTAATTTGTATTTTTTACTCATAATTTTTGTCCTTTGACAAAAATAATCTGCAAATTTTGTTAAGTCATATTTACTGATTTTAGTCAGTTTTTCTCTCTAATTTTAGTACATGACAATAACATACATGAGCCCAAATGTTCAAATTCACTTGTGTAATTGTATCATTGTGTGCAGATTGTAATATTATGTTGTGCATTTATCTCACATAGCATTAAATTGCTTTAGCATAATTTTGATGCACATTTTTCATCTAATATTTGTTATTGTTGATGAAATCAAAATACCATTTGTCAACAAAAATTTTCACCAGATTGACACTGATTGCAAACAAAGAACAAGAGCTTGATTTGCTTAGTCTTTTACCTGAGAGAGCCGGCAGTTTATTCCCTGCGCTCCGCCCAGGTGGTGTTGGCCGGCGAATTTGCTTCAGTTTGTCGATCTTTAGGCTCTCCAACCTCTTCAAGGCCTGAACGGACATGCACATTCCCCCCGAGCCGCCGCCGGTGTTCCCACTCTCCTCCTGTGTGGTCAGGTCCTCCAGACTCCCCGTCGCATTGAGGTTCATCTCCACACCGCTGTCGTTGTTGTTGGCGCTCCCTAGTGGAGAACGTTCGCTACTACAGGATGACTGGCCGCCAGGGCTTGGCTGGGATTTCTAGAAATGATTCAAGAGTAGTTATTATGCACACTAGGGATGCACGATATTATCGGACCGATATCGGAATCGGCCGATAATGACTTTAAATGTAAATATCGGCATCGGCCCGATATGAAAAATTATGCCGATATGTCTCGTCGATAAGAGAAATACATTAACTCACATGTGCTCAGGGTGTGCTAGCGATTAGATCACGTCAGCAGTGTGGCTCATTCTTGAAGCAAAGTTTTGCCTGAATAGTGATTGGATTCACTGTAGGGCTGCACGATAAATATCGCACGATATTTAATGCGCAGCTCGTCAGTAAA